ATGCATCATGCCTGGCTCATTGTGCCTGGCTTATTGATACTCATCTGAATTTTTAATTCTACGAGTCTTTAGATACTTTGGTTATTTTCTTTAAAATGTTGTATGTAAAATGTAAACTATCAGTGTATTAATAAAATGTTAAAATTAAGATGTATAAAGCAGTTTCTAGATGATCGATATTGTTGCACAATATAACTAATCACTTGGAGATTGTATTGAGCCTCCAAACTGTTTGTTTTTAATTGTTTAAATAATGTTCTAGAAAATAATTGTACAATGATATCGAGCGTCTAGGAGCCGCTTAATATTATCTTCAAATGTAGGTATAATAATATATATTAATGAAAAGTATAAAATCAATGCCCGAATTTATAAAAAGCAACATTTTCATCTCAAAAGTTGATGTTAGCCAGCGTTTTCGTGCATGCAACGTGAAGAAGTTAAAAAATACCGTCAAAGTAAAAGATCGAATACTAGTGTCTGCCGTAGCACTCAACCTATTAAACGGCACAGTCAATAGCGGTATTGTGCAAAATGCGCGTGCAGATTAAAGCGGAACCTCTGAAATCGGCATGAACGAACGCCAAGGCGTCACATCCGTAACAATTAAGATGCTCGTTCTGCACACGCGATTCGGTGAAAGTACGTTGTCCAATTGCGAACAATTTGTCGTCTGGTGGATGACAATGGAAAAGTGAAACCAGTTTTCCGTTTTCTGCTGCGACGACATGTTCTTCGACCGTGGCGTGTTTCGTTTAAGAAAAAAAAAAAGGAAGATAAGTTTTTAAGTTAATTCGAATGTCTTTAAAATTGCATAAAATTGGAATATTCAGATTATTCGGAGATTGCGAAGTATTTGAATTGCGCTTTCCATCCTTCCCTTACGTTCTTCATTTTTTATAATAAAATGAAACTAGGAGATTTTTTGCATTTATATTAAAATATTTTAAAATTAAGGTAAGTAACTTTAAAATAAGGGCAGCTTCTTTCATATCGCTTTTTATATATGGAAGGAACAATTGAAAATTGTTAAAGTATCTAAAAGTTTAGATCTGGAAATAATTTTGTTGGATTATTAAAATAATGTGATAGAAATTCAAACAATAAGCAATGCTGTAAAAAGTTTTGACATTCTAGCAAACGGCTTGAGCACTCTACATAAGTAATTATTTTCAGGTTTCTAGTTAAAATTTTAGATACTTCAGCAAAATTGTTTTCTTTTAGTGTACTTTTAAACACTTTTAAATTATGATACTATTCATTGGCTTTAAATAGATCGTTTTCAAATATGAACTTTATAAGCCAACGTGAAGATATATTTCTTCTTAAGATTAATGATCTATCATGGTGGTATTATGATAACTGGATTTAGTATTAAGGTTAATGATTCCTCGTGAAAGTTATTTTTTAAATATTAGAAACATTACATTTCACGATTCTTGAAAATTGTAATCGTATTTTGAACCCATTTAGAAACTCGAGAAGATTAATAGAGTGACACAAGAAAATGTAATAGAGTGAAATTAAATAAAATTTCAATAAACTAAGAATCACAACATTAGAGATAGCAAGATTTTTCATTCATGAAGATATTCACGGACTAATTGGCTCGCCTCAACATATGCTT